TGTGAACAAAGCATTTGCAACCAAAGACTCGAAGATGGGAGAGGTTTGGCTTTCTTCCTTTGTATAATTCATATGGGGTTTTCATGAGTATCGGTCTAATGACGGCTCGGTTTAACACGTAGCTCGCGGTACTCACGGCATCCGCCCAAAAATACTTAGGAATTTTTGCCTCATCAAGCATAGTTCTAGCCATCTCCTCGAGACAACGATTTTTACGTTCCACCACTCCATTTTGTTGTGGTGTACGTGGAGCGGAGAAGTTATGCTCGATGCCTAGTTCGTCACAAAACTCGGTAAAGAGATCTCGTTCGAACTCTCCACCATGATCGCTTCGTATGGCTACGGTGGTTAAGCCTTTTTCATTTTGAACCTTTTTGAGAAAAGTTTTGAAAACATGAAATGCCTCACTTTTATGAGTTAGAAATAATGTCCATGTGAATCGAGAGTAGTCATCAACGATCACAAAGGCGAAATAGTTTCCCCCAAAACTTTTTGTTCTTGATGGTCCAAAGAGATCCATGTGCAAAAGTTGTAGGGGCCTTGTTGTAGACACAACATTTTTCGATTTAAATGAGGCCCTTACTTGTTTGCCCTTTTGACATGAATCACAAATGGTGTCCTTCTCAAACTTGAGTTTCGGAAGACCAACTACTAAGTCTTGTGAAACCAATTTATTCAAAAGGTTCATGTTGACATGAGCTACTCTACGATGCCATAGCCACATATCGTCCTCCTTACTCATGAGACATTTGGCAAAGTCGGAGTGAGATTCATCTAAGTTAACCATGTAAATATTATCAATTCTATCACCACGAAGAATCGTCTTATTGTCACTAAGACGTTCTACCGTACATGATTTAGAATCGAAGGTCACACAATTTCCCTTGTCACACAATTGACTTATGCTCAAGAGATTGTGTTTAAGACCCTTAACCAACAAAACATTATCAATGGAGAAGGTTTCGTTTTTACCAACCGAACCAATGCTGATTATCTTGCCTTTGCTATTATCGCCAAAGACAACGTTTCCTCCTTTAGTTGGATTGATTTGCAAAAACTTGGATGCATCTCCGGTCATGTGCTTGGAGCATCCGCTATCAAGGTACCAAAGTACACTTGATGCCTTCAAGCACACCTACAAATTAATTTAGAAAGATTTAGGTACCCAATTCCTTTTGGGTCCTTGGGCGTTAGGTGCACGTTGGTAGTGTGATTGGTTTTGAGTGCAATGCCTATGCCTAGTGAAACAAACCGGGGCTATATGTCCTACCCTATTGCAATAATGACAAATAACATTTGGATTATGCATTCTCCTAGGTTGATAATAGTTACTAGGTTTTCTATATGGATTGACCCTAGTTTGAGAAAAATTTTGTTTATGCATGTTTGGAAAATGGTTTCTAGGTTCTCTAACTTGACTATTGTTTATCCTAATGTTCTTTCTAGGTGGTCTAGTGTTCCTAGTTGATGTAGGTTGTCTATTATTGTTCATTTTAGTTTTCCTAGGTTGAGCCTTAGGTTGTTTAGGTGGTTGCTCAACTTTTTCTGTATTATTAGTTCCATTTTCAAAACCTAGGCCGTGTTTAGTAAGTTGCAAATTATCAAGAACATCATTGAGATTTTTATGAGAAACACCAAACTTCTTTAAGGTTCCTTCAAGTTTTGCAACTTGTTCTTTATGTGATGTACAAGAACTACATTTTGAACTCTCTGGTTTGTCGGCGCCTCTTTTTCCGAAAAACTTATTTTCTTCTTTAAGTTTTTCATTATCTTTTGATAATTTATCAACCTCCTTCTCCATGGAAGTAAGTTGTTTCTTTAAATCCTTGTTAATTTTAGAAGCATTGACATATTCATCATAGAGTTCATTAAAAGCTTCTTGTACATCATCTAAAGTATGGGAATCTTTAGAAGTGGTACATACCTCTTCCGGTGGTTCCTCGTGTGCCATGAGGCAAAGGTTGGCGCTTTCATTTTCTTCACCTTCCGATGATT